CCCTGCTCTCTGCTCAGCCCGGCCCCTCGCCGAGGGTCTGGCTCAGGTCCCTCCCTCACTGGGGGAGCCCACGGCGGTCCCAGCTTGCGGCAAGCATGGTTCACAGCACACGGACACGGTGCCGCTGCCCTCAGTCTGCCCCGCGTCCCCTGGGTGCTTGCCGACCCCCGGGCCCCGGCCCTCAGCAGGAGCGAGGCAGGGCCTGGGAATCTGCAGCCATGGATCCGCCTGTGGGTTTCAAGGCTCCTCTTTTTCTCTCACTTGCTCGCTGTCTGTCGTGGGCTCCTTCAAGTGGACGCCCACGTGGCAGCTCGGGTGTAACGGACAGGAGCGTTGCCTCCCCAGTGACGGCTGCCCCCTGAGCCAGGGACCCCCTGAGCCAGGTACACCGTTTGCAAACCTCCTATTTCTTCCAATCTCTTCCCCTTTGGGGCCGAGGAACCAAGTCCCAGAGAGCGTCCTGCTCGGGGCTCGGCCCCTTCCGCTCAGCGAGGCTTTCTCTTTGGGGGCGACCCCAGCACTGCGTAGCAAAGCTGCCAAGGACACACACTTGGAAGCTGGACTGCTGGAGTCGAAGCTCTTCACTCTGTGCCTCTGGGCAAGAGCCGCACCTCTCTGTGCCTTGGTCTGCCCACCTGTACAATGGACGCGTTGTTGGAAGGATGACAGGAGTGACCACTGGGAAAGAGAACAGTACCTGGCACAAAGGGAATGCTAAGGGACACGCACAGCCCACTGCCAGCCCATGCCGGCCCTGGCCCTGCACACACCCCTCCCCAGGCTGGGCCCTCGGTCTGACGTCCCCACGTGTCTCCTGGGAGTCCAGAGAAGACATAAGCCATCAGGGCTGGTAGCGTCCAGGGGCAAAGGCCTTGCGCTGTCCCTGCCCGACGCGTGGGAGCCCAGCTCCTCTTCCACAACCGCACTGGACCTGAACTTGGACCCTGGGGTCCGGTGCTCACAGAACCTGGCTGCTGGAGGGACTGCAGCTTCTCACAGCGCAGGGCCCTGACCTCAAGCCCGGGGCACGTTTTGATGGCGTCACCTCTGGGCTCAAGACGGCACAGGCTGTTTCCACGCAGCTTCCCTAACTAAACCCACAGGTTACAAACCCCAGGGAACACCAGCATGGAGCCAGTCCTGCCCAGTCTTCCAAACACTTAACGCTTGCTCTGAGCCTACGAGGAGGGCAGGACTGCTACGCCCATTTTGTGGATGAGAATACTGAGGCTCATGGAACAGCCTGCTTGAAATCAGCTGCAAGGTCAGGCCAGGAGGCAGCGATGCAGGCATGATCCAGACCCCCGGCGGGCTACAAGGGACCTCTAGAGAGGGCCCACGTGACTTCCCAAAGGCAGATCTTTCCTCGGAGGATTCTGGGAGTGTCGCATACCACGTCACATGTTCCCTGCTTCGAAGGCAACTGATTACCTGCTACTTCTCAGTAATCTGCTAAGAAAGCAAACAGGGATTTCCAAAACCCGGCACCCAGAAATGCAAAGGAGCCACAGGTGGTGTTGCGAGGGCTCTGGCTCAGAGCGTGGCTGTCAGGTACTTCTGCTCTGCTCCCCCACCCCAGCTCCACTTGGGGGTTTTCTGGGCCTGGGTGGGGGAAGGCTGATGGGACATAAGTCACAAAAGTAAGGCAGATGGAGGGCATGCCAGGGGCCACTGGTGGACCCGGCTGCAGTACCAAAGACTTCCTCTAGGGGGCGAGCGCACCTGCCCGCTCCCAGCCCGGCACCAGCAGTTAGGGGCACCAACTCTGCAGCCAGACTCCCAAGGAGGACACTCACTCCACTGTGACCCTGGATACACCCAGTCTCTGTTTTCTCATCGGCAACACAGGCTGCTGGGAGAGTTAACCAAGTTAATACATGGAGAGTGTGTAGCATGGAGCCCAGCCTAGCATAAATGCTTACTAAATGTTAAGTATTATTGTTGTTACTGTTATTAGTTACCCCTGTTGCAGCCTGCCAGCACGGGTGAGAGCACACACAAAAGGACCACAGAACAGTCGGGCAGGTTGTGCACTGCACAACACAGGGCACCATTCTCGAGGTAGTCCGGAGAATGCCACCTTCTAGAATAACGCAGTGCACAACCTGTGTGGTGGGGGCCTGGCCCTGGACACACCTGGGTAGCCCTAATTTCCAACTAATAGGTACCACTTGGAGATGGACCATTTGGAGCAAGGTCTCCTGTATTCTTTTAGCCAAGGAGGTCCTGTGCTTTGGGGTGGACCAACAAAGATTTGAACATGGTGTGCATTGGCCCTGGAGCCTGGCAGGGTGGGAGGTAGGAAAGCCAGGAGGCTGGCCAAGCCGCTCCTCTCTGGGCCAGTCTCTCCCCACCCCCACCGCCGGCCATGTGTCCAGTGTGAGGAGCTGGGTTAGTTTCTAGACATCTGCCGACTCCCGTTGATTGGCAGTGGCTTTGTAAAGTGAGAAATCAGGAGCCACTTTGGGATGGGTGGGAAGGGCTCTTGGATTGATTAGTGATGTCTACACAGGGCCAGGGAAAGGGGCAGTGGCATGTGTGTTGACACAGCTGCCCTCCAGGGATCAGCCTGGGGGTCTCAGTCCCTGCTGCTCCTTAGAATCACTGGAGGCATCAAAACCCCAGGTCTCATCGTGGGGCCCCACAGTGCAGTCTCCCCAGGGAAGGCCTGGACGGTGCCCCCGGGGGACTCTCCCGGGGCCCGGAAAAGCCTGGCCCCCCCACAGCTTCCACCAAGGAAGCCCCGTGGCTCCCTCGCTGTCTCTCTTACACCACTCAGCCTGCAGGGAGCGGGGAGGGGGAAGCGACACGCCCCAAAGTGACAGGCTCCACCTGTGGGTGTCGGGAGGGGGCCCTGGGGGGAGGAGGAAGCAGACGAAAGCTGACGGGGCCGCTGAGCTCCGAAGGTGCCAGGCGCGGAGGGGTGCGTGAGGCCCCCAGGGCAGCCCTGCATGCTGGCAGCTCCTCCAAATCAGAGACGTCTTGGCGGGGGGCTCCCTGGGCCCAGAAGCCGGCCAGCTTTCCTCCGCCCCTCGTGCCACCGCCCCGGGCCACAGCCCTGGCGCTGCAAGGAGCAGGCCACGCCGGGCTGCGCCTCCCAGCGGGCACGGTCTCCCGCCCGGAGCAACAGAGAAGCAATCAAATCACATAGAATTCGATCATATTTTAAAATAAGCTTTATTTAGATTTTTTTTTTAATATTTTATATTTGCATCCATGCCTTCCAGAGGGACCTTTCTCCGGGGGAAAGGTTCGCTCCATCTAATGTTACCCATAACTCATTCGCTATTTGATGCAGTTCTCTTAAATAAATCATCCTTAGTGACTCTGAGAATTATCTCCTAATTTACAAAAACCGAAATGAAAAGGAACTACGGGGTCATTACCGGGAGAGGCTGCGATCTGATTTGTGCGCCGGTAAAAGCGGGGGGAGGGATGAAAATCAACCGAGAAATCAAACTCATGGGGAAGAAAAGCATTTTCCAGAAGGGCTCTCGGTGGGGAAGGTGCCCGCTCGGCTGCGGTCACACGGAGGCCACCCTGGGGCCCCCGCCTGCTCCGCGTGTCCCAGACTTGGCAGCAAAGGTCCCACCCGTTTCCCCAGGGAGGCTCCGTGAGCGCTGCAGGGCGCCTGGAGGGGGGCTGGGCGGTCAGTGGTTAGGGGCAGCAGCACGGGGTCCGCAGGGCAGGGCAGGGGCGCGTTAGGCTTTGCGAGGTGGCCCTGGCTGAGAAGCTGGCTTGTCCCCCTCACCTGGCGCCAGGATGCACACGGCTCCCTGGCCGACACGGTTCCCCCAACGGGCGTGTTCCCACCAGCGTTCCCCGCCCGCCTGGGGACAGCGGACTCCAGGTGTGATGCGTGGGCGGGCAGGGCCCCGAGAGAGTCTAAATGTGGCCCAAGGGACAAGCCAGAGTGGAAGCTGCGTCCCCAACAGCCATCCCCCCGGGACACCTGCCAGGCCCGGGTGCAGAATAAACCAGGGTGTGGGGGGAGGGCGCAGCTCCAGGCCCCCTGGGGAAGCAGCTCAGGCCGGGGGTCCTGGGGTCGCACCTGGAGAGGGGTGGGCTGTCCTGCCCCGGCTTTTCACTGTCTCAAGAGGCAGAGCCGGGTGGGGCGTGCCGTGTATGCCAGGCAAATAAACGCATACAGAGAGAGGCCGTGAGAAGGGGCAGGTCCCTTTCGTGCAGGGGCGGGAGAGCAGGGGAGACCGGGGGAGAGAGAGCGAGACACAGAGAGAGCAAGCTGAGAAAGCCAACGGCCCCAGGCGGCCGCCTAAGCCGCACCCGGCAAGGCAGACAGACAGACATGTCGGCAGAAACCCCGCCTCCCGCCCCACCCCGTGGAAAAATATACATTCCGTTATGTACGTAATAATTTAGATAGAATAAGTTTTCTGCATTTGTGCAAATAAATTAAACAGAACAGGTTTTTTTTTTTTCTTTTTCCATAAAGAGACAAACGGCCACGCAATGTAAAAACTGGCAGGCGTCAGTGGCGGCCCGGCTGACCTCTCCCGGGGCAGCCCAGTGCGGGGGACCTGGGCCCGGGGCGGAGACCCCGGGGCGGCCCGCAGGTGCACGGACGCCGGGGCAGAGACCCGCAGGTGCGCGGGAGCCGCCCACGCTCGCTCCGGGCTGCGACCCTCGCGGTATTTAGAAGTACACAGCAGTCCTTCAAGTTCCCACATTTCATCACACGGAGGAGAAGGGGGGACGTGGAGACAGCGAACGGAACAAAAACGGGAGGGGATTAAAGGACCCGGACATTGAGAACACAAACGGGGAACCGGGTTAACAACACAGCGGTGTGGCTCCGGAGACAGGGACGGCGTCACACACGGCGCGCTATGTACATCTGTGACAGAGGGCGCACCCACGCACGGCCACACGCGCACGCCCACGCTCGCACGCACGCACGCACGCACGGCCCCGCGCACCGGCCCAGGGCGCCGGCTATCACCAGTCCGCGTCCTCCTCTATGTAATAATCGGGGGCGGTACCATCAAAGAGGCCGGGGTCGAGGGACTTCCGCTGCTTCCCTCTGGCGAAGACGCGCGAGATGGAGCCGAATCCCATCTTCTCTTTCTTCTTCTTCCGCTTTTGGTCTTCAAGATCCTCTAGTGACTGTGCGAGCGGCAGCCGGGGCCCGGGTGGGGGAGAAGCAGGCAGTTAGCTGGGCACAGGGCAGTGCGCAGGCCAGGGGCCCCACCCCCAAAGCAGGACCCGCCCCGCCGGAGGTCAGCTCTGGGCGCGGGGCCGGCCATGCCTGCTGCACCCTAGGGTAGCCTGGAAACCCGGGGCTGAGAAGCAGCAGGTGCAGGCCGGGGGCAGGGGGCGGGGCCGGCCACGCCCAGCTGTCTCTCCTGTGATGTGGGCGTGGCTAAGATGAGAGCTGCCCTGTCTTCCTACGGGGTGAAGGGGGGGAGGGGGAGGATTCAGAGCCTGCAGCAGAGCTGTGCAGACCCGGGGCGCTCCCTGCCAAGGGGTGGGGGGCTTAGACCAGACTCAGCCCCCAAACCCTTGAGCGCCCCTTTGGTTTCAAGCCCCACCCTGCGCTTGCTGGTCAGAATCTACAGGGCCAAGGGCCTGGGAATCTGCATGTGGGCTCTCTTGCCTGGTGGGACCCGGATGTAGGCGGGCAGCACACAGACCAGCAGGGGGCAACCCCTAGAAGAGACCGATGGCCCCTGCTTTCTTCCCCACGGCCCCCTCCTCACTCTTATGATGGAACATTGAAAATGCTAAAAATGGGTAAAAAACAAAAGGCCCTGGAATAATGATGACGACTTCAAAACCTTGGGTGCCGGGAAGACACGGGCCAGGGCAGCAGGACACACACACGGGTGTCCGGTCCACGTGTCCGGCAGAGGTGACCCCAGGAGAGGAGCTGAGACCAGCTCAGGCACCCAGCCACACCCCTTCCCGCCCGGGGAGCCGCAGGGATGGCCGTGGGGAGGACCGGGCCGCGCGGCCAGGGCAGGCTCACCTACCTGTACAATAGGGTTGTGCAGGCTCTTCTGAACGGGGCCGGGACTGTCGCCCTGAAGCCAAAGGAAAAAGGAAGATGAGACAGCAGAGACACACGACACGTGAGGACGGGGGTGGCCACCGCGGCGGAAGCCAGCCATCCCCCGGGGCGCCCCTGCCTCTGCCGTGGGGAGCCCGCCCCCATCTCCTGACACAGACACTCCCAGGGGACTTGCTGAGGGACCTGGGGCTCATCAAGGTGCTGCCTGCACCAGGGGTCCCAGACAGAGGCCTGGGGGGGGGGGGCTGTCCCACCTGCTCTGTCCTCCCAGCATGCTCTGACCCACAGACTAGCCCTCCAAGGCCTGGGCTCCTGTTAGAGCTGCAGGGTGTGATCTTGGTGCATTTCATAGACGCTCTGTGCAGAAAGCACAGTGACCAAGAATCCGGAGAGACAGACTCGGGAGGCTGTGCAGGCTCCAACTGCCCCTGCGACCCGCACCAGGGGTCTCTTACGTCGCACAGGGCAGCCTCTCTGATTAATGCAGAGTTCAGGAACAGGAGTGGCTCCTGGCGTCAGCATCACAGAGCTCCTGAAAGCGGAGCCCGCACCAAGACGGATTCCAGGGCTCCTTCCTGGCAGGGCTCCAGGGCAGCTACAGACTCAGCCCCGGTCCCGAGCCCTGGGGCGGCTCAGGGGACCCACACGCAGGCTCTGTCTGCCTGGGACCCACACAGGCCTGGAGATGCAGGACATCACCACTGTGTTGCCAGTCCTGTCCCAGGTGGGTGGCGAGAGGACCCTGAGCGGCCTGTGGGCACACAACAGCCTTCACTACATCCCGGCACCAGTCTGCCCTGCCTGGAGGCAGCTGGCTTGGGTCATGGAAGTCATTCTTAGGGAGCCTCCTGGTGGTGGTTTCTGGAATTGCAGGCATAATGCCCATAGAGAAACAGCGATGTCCATCAGCCTTCTCCACACCTCTGCTCTGAATGAGTGCCCAGGGTGGGAGAGGATGACGTGGTCCCAGCTTAGGCTGTGCTGCTGTTGCTGGGCCAGGCCAAATGCCGGGGAACAGAGGGTTACCTGGAATTATTTTCAGGCTCTTCCTGGCTTACCTGTGTGGATATAAAGGGGTTGAGGGAGGGAGGAAATGTAGCAAAAGGGACTTCAGTCTTTACTCTCATCTCGAGTTTGCAAACAGAACGGATTCTGCAGGCAGCTAAGATAGTTTGCCCTCGGGCTGGGCTGTGGCATATTGGGTAAAGCCTCCACCTGCGACACCAGTGTCCCATATGGGCACTGGTTTGAGTCCTGGCTGCTCCACTTCCAATCTACCTCTCTGCTAGTGCATCTGGGAAAGGAGCAGAAGATGACCCAAGTCCTTGGGCTTCTGCACCCATGTGCAGATGAAGCTCCTGGCTCCCGCCTCGCCCAACCCTGGCCATCACGGCCATTTGGGGAGTGAACCAGCAGATGGAAGATCTCTGTCTCTCTGGCTTTCAAATAAATAAAATAATTCTTTTAAAAATAGACAGCTCTCCTCTGGGTAGGGCCACCTTTGCCAAGTTCACGGGTAAGAGAAGGAGACAAGTTGGCCACTGACACACATATGTGTGTGTGTGTGCGCGCGTGCGTGGACCACTGGCTTGGTGAAGCACCTGTCTCTTGGCCAAGTGTCCAGTGAGCTCGGAAATCAACGTGCAGGAGCCGTGTCTCTGGCAGCAGCTGTGTGCCAAGGCCAAGTGGGGGAAAGGCTGGGCCTGGGGCTGCGGTAGCCCAGGGACTTTCAGAGAGCTGGTTCTGCATGACGGCTGCCCGGGGCCCACCGTGAGCTGACAAGATATGGGCCTGGGGAAGGTGTTCTCGCCTGGGCCGGGTGTGGGTGGGCTCTCTGCCTGGGGACCACTGCTGGCTCCCCATCTAACTCCACAGTGGTCCCTCAGGACCCAAGCGCGGTTGTCAAAGGCCCCCTAGCCCCCCCCCCCCCCCTTGTCTTGATGCTGAGTCAAGGTCGCCTTGGTTACAAGGATTCTCTCCCAGAGACAAGACAGTTTCCAGGGAGCCCCAGTGGGGAAGGAAACACTGGGCACTGGGCAGGCCCCTGGAGTACGGGTGACCCTCTCCCGACCTGATGTGGGCTGGACACGGCCCCGGGCCAGCAAATCCCCCTGCCCACGGCACCAGGCCGAGGCGGCTCCTGGGACGTACTGTAGTCTTTGCACTTCCGTGAGCACTTCTTATCGTTACTAGGGACTGAAAAACACCGCTTCCGTCCCGATCACCCACACGTGGGCAAGTTAGCGCTGTTTGGGAGTTGGTTTTGGGCCAGTGCTGTTACAGACTGGCTTCTCAGTAAGTTCCAGCAACTTCTCGACTTGTTCCCTTCAGTCTCCCAGACAGAGTCCTGACGTCAGCCGGGCTCCGCTAGGTCTGTTGGCCGACGTCTTCCCATCATTTCCCGGTCACTAAGGCAACATCGGCTGTGCATCTGCAGGCTTCAGCCTGTGGTGTCTCTGTCGTCACGTCAGGGGCCCCCTCTCCACGACCGATGGCGTCATGGGACAAAACTGCAGAAGGGGCCCCGCCCCCTGACCCGGGGCCTCACAGTGGCGTCTCAGGACGCACCCCCTCCCCAGCACTGCCCCGGAGCACGGGGGGGTTTGGGTGCCGTGTGCGGGTATCCTCCGAAGGTTCACGTGTTGGAACCTCGGTCCCCGAGTGGCGGCGGTCAGGGCTGGTGGGAGCCTGCAGAGGTGGAGCAGGTGGGAGGTCGGTGGGGGCGCCGCCTTCGGAAGGGACTGCCCTCAGCTCTTGCATAGGGCAGCGAGCAGAGAGCAAGGCCGGCCATGCCCACTGCCCCGCTTCCTGACGTGCGCATGCTCTGGCCAGGACGGCCTCGGCTGGGGGTGGGGGTGACACAGCCGGGCCACCCCCACCCGAGCCAGCCACCTGCCACCTGGGCTTGCAGCCTCTGGAACTGTGAGCTTAGGAAACCTCTTTTCCTGCCTGCCCGGTCGGTCAGCTACCCTTCCGTGGCTCAGGACATGAGCCTCTTGGTAGCTGGTGCCAGGGACGCCATCACCAAGTGTCGATTAAATGAGCAAAGAAACTGAAAACAAATTCAACGGGACGCCTCTCCAGACCAATGCATGCGAGACCACTGGACATTCAAAAAACCCGAAATCCTGACTCCACCCTGGATGGAGGACCGAGGGCTGCCTGGAGAGGGTGGTGGTGGTGAGGCCCTGAGTGCCGAGGGCCACTGGCTGGGAGGAGAAGCCACCGTCCCCGACAGGGCCCGTGACAGGGGCGGGGACTTGCAGGCTGCACAGACCCTGGACACGTGCGCCCGCCCGGTCACAAGGAGCCATCGGGCCTCATCTCTCTTTGTCCCCACATCCACGGCCGCTCGCCATAGGCAAGAACGGAACAGGACTGCCTCCGCCACAGTGCTCCCTGGGTGGGCGAGAGGAAAGAGCAGGTGCATCCCGGCCGCTGCCCGCCCCGCCCTGTGGCGTCCGACCCCGCTGCTGCTGGCCTTACGTTGCAGAGGGAGTGCGTCCGGTGTCGCGGGGAGTTGATGTCGCTGGGCGTGGATGACCGGTCACCCTCGGCGGCGGAGGCGTCGGAGATGACGGAGGGCTGCCGGGAGTGGCAGGGGCTCACCCTGACCGCTGGAAAGCAGGGACAGCGGGTGAGCGGGGGCCGCAGGGACCTCCTGGCCAGCCGCCCCCACCGCACAGATAAGGACGCTGCGCATAGGGAAGGGGAGAGACGTGCCCAGCGCTCCTCCTCTCTGTGCAGCCCCTGGCGGGGAGACCCTCCCTCGGCCTCTGGGCCCGGCGAGGCCCCCTCCTCACTTGCAGACTTGCAGGCACCACGCAGCTCTGCAATTTCCCAGACAGACAGGACACCCAGCCCTGCCCCCTCCCCAGCAGCCACCGCTGTCTCTCACCTGCAAGACCGTGGCAGCCCCTGGGGCCCCTGGCTGCCTCCACACCTCCAGGCACCTAATTCCCCTGGGGGACACCCACCCTCCCTTTCCCTCCAAGGTCCGTTGTGCCACGGCCCCGCCCAGCAGGCAGCCTCAGCCCAGTGACGGGACCCTCGTCACTGTCACTGTCACTGCTCTCAGGTCACACGGGGCCTCCTGACCGTGCCCGAGCTGCACCGCCCCCGGCCCCCACCTCGGCCTCTGCTACCCCCGCTGCCCACCCTGGGGGCTCCCTGCCTTCCCCAGCCACCAGCTCGCCCTCCTCTGACTTTCCTCTCCGTAGTGCCCGCTGTCCACTGCGTCCTCTCCCGCAGCTGCTCCACTGCTCGCTGGCCTCTGTCTGTGGCTGATCCCGCCAGCTCCGTGGGAGCGGGCACCTGGTGGGTCTCATCCGTGCTGAGTCCCAGGGCTCACGGGGCCTGGCACATAGTAGGTGCTCAGCGAAGCCCGGCTCAGAAGCTCCTGCGGCAAGGGCCCCGCGTGTGGCTGTCCCGTCTGTAGGTGCTGGCACGGATGCAGGGGACAGGCTGGCTGAGCGCCTGCTCTGTTCTGGTGGCTGGTGAGAGTCCCCGCCCACCAGTGGCCACACGGTCTGGTGGAGGGTGCGGGTGGCTGGGAGGACACTGGTTGAAGTCATTTACAATCTGGGTGAGCCCGCACTACAGGCTGGTGGCCGTGAGCACGCCCCTCGGCCCCTTTGAGGCAGGCTTGTCACCCGGGAAACGGGGCAGGGGGTGGTGCCCACCCCGCAGAGCGGCTGTGTGCACAAGCCTAGTGCAATGCCGGCACGGGACAGGTGGGAGGGGCTGTGACGAATGCTATGACAAGGACAGGGCAGGGCAGATGCCACGATGCATGGGAGTGTGGAGGTCACGGGGGACCGAGCTGGGGAGAGAGGAGAGAAGGCTTCCTGGAGCAGGGGGTGTCTGATGGGCATAGGTGAGGCAGGTACTGCCGAAGAGGAGGGGCCCAGAGGATGGATGTGTCAGCCTGGCCATGCCTTCCTTCCCAGCTCCGCTGCCCTGTGATTCAGAAACTGCCCCAAGCCCCGACTGCTCTCACATGGCACCTCTGCCATGCAGCTGCCTGGGTCTGCACCAGGAGCCAGGAGCACTGGCTGCACACTTGAGACTGGGCAGGTGGCAGTCTCCCTGGGTCTCAGGCTCCACGCCCCCCCAGGCTTGTCCCAGGAAAGTCACCTCCCCTCGGGCCAGAGGCCAAGGTGGCCGCTGCTCCCTTTGTGTGGGAAAGGGGGGGCAGGGCATCTGTTTGCTGCCAGGGATCTGACAGCCTGGGTGTCCCCATGGAGGATGACAATGGTGAGGATGACGAGAGTGGCCGCTGCTACTCCCCCCGGCCCCAGCGCAGACACACTCAGCGTGCCCCACACATGCCCCCCGCACACGGTGAGGAACTAAGGACCGTGGGCAAGGGCACAGGTCACGTCGCCAGGAAGCAGCCGGGCCAGGATCGGACCCCAGCAGTCTGTGCGTTCCCACCCACCTGCACCCCCGACAGGCAGGGCCAGCACCCGCGGCTCCTCCCTCGCCGGCCGCCAGCCCCCTGGAAGCCAGGGCTGGCTCATCTCCTGCTGGCTCCAAGGGCCAGCTCTGCCCACGCCCACTGCAGACGTGGGTGAGGAAGGCCCAAGGGTCAGGGTCCCCGGGGGCACAGCGGCTGCCGCCAGCTGCCTCTCCCAGCCTGCACCGGCCACACAAGGGGAGACGCAGAGAAGGGAGCCAGGCGCCCTGCAGATGTGCGAGGGCCAGCGAGGAGTCCAGAGCTGTTACCGCGGGCAGCCGACCTCCGTCAAAGCGTGCATCAAACAGCCCTGACCGTGCCTGCCTCTCCTGCATTTCCTGTGGTCAGCTGAGCTGTCAATCCAGGAGCTCTGTGGTCTTCCCTGCCAATGAATGCCCCATGTGACCCAGACTGGCCAATCAGGGAACCTGCTCCTCCCCTAGCCATAGTGATTGGTTCCAAGAGGGCAGGTGACCCAGGGTGGCCAATCAGAGCCATTTTTTAGGACTGGCTATGGATACATGGGGAAGGAATGATCTCTCTTTCCCAAGATTTTTGAGCTGTAAAGGCTTTTAAATTCTGGAACTGGGGCCGGCGCTGTGGCGTAGCAGGTAGACGCTGTCTGCACTGCCGGCATCTCACGTGGACATCGGTTCAAGTCCTGGCTGCTCCACTTCCTTTCTAGCCCCCTGCTAATGTGCCTGGGAAGGCAGCAGATGATGGCCCAAGTGCTTGGGCCCCTGCACCCATGTGGGAGACCCAGAAGAAGCTCCTGGCTTTGGCCTGGCCCTGCCCCAGCTGTTGTGGCCATTTAGGGAGTGAACCAGCAAACAGATCTCTCTCTTCTCTCTCTGGAACTGGAACTGCTGGGGCCTGTCTTGCTGCAGGAAGATACGGCCTGAAGATGAGGCCACACAATCGGAGACAGAGAGACCCAGCTGTGGGCTGAACTTCTGGATCCAGCTGTGCCTGAAGTCCATCTCTTAGACGGATCGGTCACAAGTGCCCGTCCTCAGGCTCTGCCCCACCCCCACCCGGGCCTCCGGGAGCCAGGACTCACCTTGGCGGTCTGCAGGGTGCGGGGGGTGGGAGTGGTACAGCGTCTGCTGGCTCTGCCGGATGGCTGCGGTCAGCGGGAGGTCGGCCTGCACCACCCACTCCTGGTTGCCGTTGAGCACCGTCTCGCCCGGCATGGCGAGGGAATGCCGCTTGGGGACGTCCTTGGTCAGGGTGGCTAAGGACTGCTTGGCCTGGAGAGAGAGCCGGTGGCGTGACCCAGGGCATCTGGTGGCTGCGGCTCGGCACCGCCCACCGCCACAGTGGGGAGGCCCTGACTCCCCGCCCCGCCCTGCTGGTGGGTCCCCAGGCCAAGCACCTGGGGGCTCACTTCGGGGTCACCCCTCAGTTCCCACCGAGAGCAATGTGAGAGCAGATGCAGAGAGAAAGGGGGCGCCCTGACGGCCGGCTCTGCCTGCTGTGGACACCGATACGGTGAAGCCGACGTCACATCTCTCCTGGTTCTAGAACTTTCCAGACCTTGCCCCCAGCCCTGTGCGCTTCCTGGTAGAGAAGTGGACAGCCCTGGCCTACAGCCTCAGGCACCCTCCCCCGCACTGAGCGGCTCTGATCTGCAGCAGGTCCCTGCGTCCTCCGAGCCTCAGTTTCTCCACGTGTACCACGAAACGCCTTTACCCAGGGACGCTCAGGGCCCCCCCCGCCCCGGCTCGCGCACCCTCGGAGCCTGTGAGACCAGTGCCCTCCCACCCCGGCCCCCGGGAGCTCAGGTCCGTCCGCAGATGGAGGCTGAGCTGATGGTGTTGGCCCTGCAACCCCAAACCAGGCAGCCCTGTCCCCTCTGGCTTAGCAAACCCTTAGCCGTATCCACTGCGCTCATGTGCTCCCTGCAAGTAGCGAGAATGGGGTCATCCGCTCAGAGAGGTTAAGTGACGGCTCCGCGAATGCAGAGTATCCAAGTTGCCTGACTGAGAGCCCAGTGTGTGGTTTCTACCCAACCCCCCCTCCCAGGGGCCTGGAAGCCAGCATGGAGAGGCGGGCTGAGCCACGGGCCACAGACCACGGGGCTGAGCCACAGAGCTGAGCCCACGGCAGCCTTGGCCTTGGCCCATTTCTCAGCCTGCCACTGCGTCTTCCCGCTGCACCCGAGGGCCCCGTCTTCCCTCCAGGGCGCCCTCTGCTGTCTGCAACCCCAGGACCCAGGGCACAGCCAGGGAAGGCGCCTCCCCCCGTCTCGTCCTCATCACCCCTGCAGCGGGGGAGCTGGGCCAGCCAAGCACCGGCAGCCCTGGCTGTGAGAGCCTGAGGGTGTAGGCCGTGCAGTCAGGGGGCGCCCCAACAGGACGGGGGCTCTAAGGGAATCCCCCGGCCTCCGAGCCCGGGGGAGGTCTGGCTCGGGCCTGCGTTATAGCAAACCTGTCACCCTGAGCTGTGCCCGCTGCAAGCCCACACCCCTGCAGAGGGGCCTGTCACCCTGAGCTGTGCCCACCGCAAGCCCACACCCCCGCAGAGGGGCCTGTCACCCTGAGCTGTGCCCGCCGCAAGCCCACACCCCCGCAGAGGGGCCTGTCACCCTGAGCTGTGCCCGCCGCAAGCCCACACCCCCGCAGAGGGGTCTGATGCCTGCCAGGAGGCGGAGGCAAAGGCTTGAGTCCTGTCGGCTGTAACACAGCGGGGGTTGACCAAGGCAAGGTCTGCCCATGCGCAGGGCACTGGGCGGCCTCGGGGGACGGGGCCTCCCCTGCATCCCTTCCCTGGTTTGCAATATAGACGCTTCTGCCCCTGGGAAGCCCCCTGGGGCAGGACCCCTGCAGCCACAGTGTCCACCACTAGGGGTCAGCATTGGACAGGGAGAGGCCCGAGCTCCCGCCCTGCCCTGGGAGTCTCCTGGAACAGGCGACCTTAGGAAACTGCGGTGTCTATAGAGTGAGGAGCTGAGGCCCAGAGGGGGCAAGTGTCCTGCCGGGGGTCACACAGCAAGCACGTGATGGGGGCTGCACCCCCGCTGGGAGCCAGCCCCTGGCTCTGGGGCCTCCAGGGCCCACAAGGGCCTCTCACGTCCCGGGAGGCCCAGGCACACCCTCCTGCCGGCCACCAGCCCCGTGCAGCCCCGGCTCCTGTGTGAGGCCCTCCTGGCCACACTCTGCGGCTCTCCCCAGCCAGCCAGTGGGGCAACGGCGGGGACGCCGACCCCAACGCTGCACCGTGACACAGGGGCCCAAGCGGAGCCGCATCCTGGGGCCCCGGCCCCGGCCTCTCCCGCCAGCTCGCTGGCCCTCGGCCCACGGCGCACGGCGCACGGCAGGAGTGAGGAGCGTTCTCCCCTTGAGGACAGAAGATAGACACTTGTGCTTGATACATTTGACACATGACAACAAAAGCCCATTTTGGGTAATATTACCACCCTGGGACAGCTGGTGTGAATCCTGCGGTATATTTGTTCCCAAGTATTTAAATAAATAAATATATGTATCGGGGCCGGCGCTGTGCCGTAGCAGGTAAAGCCACCGCCTGCAGCACCAGCATCCCACATGGGCGCCGGTTCGACTCCCGGCTACTCCACTTCTGATCCAGCTCTCTGCTGTGGCCTGGGAAGGCAGTGGAAGATGGCCCAAGTGCTTGGGCCCCTGCACCCACGTGGGAGACCCAGAAGAAGCTCCTGGCTCCTGGCTTCGGATCGGCGCAGCTCTAGCTGTTGTGGTCTACTAGGGAGTGAACCAGCGGATGGAAGACCTCTCTTCTCTCTCTCGCTGCCTCTCTGTAACTCTGTCTTTCAAATAAATAAATACTTTAAAAATAAATACATAAATATATGTGGGTGCCTCAAAAAATTCATGGGAAAACAAATGATGCTTATTTTGATGCAAAAAATCGCAATGCATCAGAGTCTTGCCTAGAACGCGTTTTCCACGAGCGTTTTGAACTGCTCTCCCGCTTTCAACAAACAGCGCGGATGGTTCTCTCTGAGCAGCGGCCTGGGAGTGTGGGAGACTGAGTGGGCCCCCTGCACGCCCACTCCTCCCGGGCCCCAGGCAGGGGCGAGGCTGCTCCGGGGGTGGCCAGGGCCCAGGTGGACCCAAAGGGCCCCCAGCCTGCCCCCTAGCCCAGGCCAGAGCCCCGCGGCCCCGCCCCCAGCCCCTCGGGACTCTGGGGTGCCCAGGCCAGCACCCCGCGGCCCCGCCCCAGAGTGAACACCGCCCCCCAGCCTCCTCGGGACTCTGGGGTGCCCAGGCCAGCGCCCCGCCCCGCCCCCAGCCCCTCAGGACTCTGGGGTGCCTAGGGCAGCGCCCCGCGGCCCCGCGCCCAGCCCCTGGAGACTCTGGGGTGCCCAGGCCAGTGACCCGCGGCCCCGCCCCCAGCCCCTCGGGCCTCTGGGGTGCCCAGGCCAGCGCCCCGCGCCCCGCCCCGCGCTCACCATGGCCAGCTCGGCCTCCAGCTCCTTCATGCGGTTGTCCTTGAGGTCGAGCTGGGAGCGCAGCGCCGCGGCGTGGTCCGTGGCCTCCTTGGCCTGGCGCCGCAGCTCCCACTTCTCCCGCTCCAGCAGGTCCTTCTCCTTGGCCAGCGCTCGGACCGCCTCCTCGCTCTCCTGCAGGTGGGCGGGGACACAGGCGCGGCGTCACCACCAGGGGGCGCGGACGAGCCTGGGCCAGCGTGAAGGCCTCTGGCAAGGCGGCCAGGAGCGCCGGCCCTGGGTTTGAATCCCGGAGACAGGGCCCGAGACCAGCCCTGAGAAGCTTCCCACAGCGGTGGGGACAGCGGCGAGCAAGCGCTCACGACTTCCGCCCCGGCCAGCCGCTGTGTCCCAGCCTCTGCTACCCGCCCCCCTGGGACCATCGAGAGGGGCCACCACCTGTCCCGGAGCCTGACTCCCAGAGGCCACAGAGGGCATCCACGCGGCCCTGGTCTGCAGGGATGGCCGAGATCACCGCTGCCTCAGTTTCCCCGTGGACCCTGGGTGCTACCGTGGGTGCAGCCAGCAGGTGCCTGCTTGTTTGACACAGGTCCCTGCTCAAATGTCTCCTCCTCCGAGAAGCCTTCCCAGACCACCCAGGTAAGAGGGCAGCCCTGGGCCCTCTCCACCCCACATCTCTTACTCAGCTGATACGCCACGACACCATCAGCAGGCACAAAACCAGACAAGGAGATCTGATCTCACGGAACTTTCTCTGAGAATCTGCACTGGCGTGGGACTGGGGCAAGGGGCGCCCCCTGAGAGCCAGCAGGTGTGCGAGGGGCCACTTAGGGACCAGCCCAGCTTCAGGAAGAAGACCCACGAGGCCCCTCAGGGTGGGTTTCTGCGTCCGTGTCTGTGCCTGCTGTCTGGGGTGCCCTCGGCCTCTGCACTGGGGGGGGGGGTCCCTCAGGAGCTTGCAAGGCCCCGCCCCCTCCCTGGGATGAGAGTCAAGGCAGCCAGGAGTGGCTGGACAGGTGCACAAGGTTTCAGCTGCATTCTTACATGTAAACCTCACAGCCACGCAGGCGGCAGGCACTAGGATTACTGCCATTTCACAGCTGCGCAAAGTGAGGCCCGGAGAGAGAAAATAACTTCCCCAGCCCCACAGAGCCCTCCTTTGCCGCTAACCCACGTCGCGGCTCTGCAGGGCTAAGTGCAACGCCCAAGGGCACACACGTGGGAACCGGCCAGACCCGAGTCACCACCCTCCTGACCGAGCCGTCCGGTCCCCGTCTGTCTGCCCAGGAGACAAGGGGACCCCAAGCGGCAGTGATGCCTGTGTCCCCCGGTGCCCAGGCCTGGACACACACATCGGGGGCCTGGAAGCCCTCGGGGCGCTGGGATCCAGAGGCGGACCCCGCGCGGGGCTGAGGGCGCGGGGCTGGGGCAGGCAGCGCCACCTTGCGGTGCTGCTCGTAGTTGCGGATGAAGTCCCGCAGCTGCTCCTCCCGGCTCTCCAGCGTGGCGTACAGCTGCTGCATCTGGCTCAGCAGGTCCGTCTTCTCGCCCTTCAAGCGCTTCCGGTCGGCTTTCATGGCTGGGGACGGGAGAGAGGGGCAGTCAGTCCCTGAGTCGCAGCGGGCTGCTGGGGACGCCCACGAGGGGCCCCAAGGCCATGGCCGTGGTCACCTGTGAGAAACCCGAGCTCCCAGGGCCCCTCTTCTCCCGGCTCAGGTCTTGGGGCCAAGCAGGCAGCCAGGCCATGCAGAGGGCCGGGGGAGGCTCGGGGGGCAGGGGGACCCCGGGTCGCAGGCAGCTGGACCCATGCAGCAGCTCAGGTCACCAGGGCCAGTGCCAGTGTGGGGTGTGGGGGCGGGGCACGGCTGGGCTATTTTGGGTCCTGCCACCAGCTCAGGCAGCCACAGTCCCAGCGGCCTCAGGGGAGGAAAAGCCGGCTTTGAAGCAGTCCCTGGGCAGGAGGCAACCTGCAGGACAGGCCGGCCCAGCGGTGCTGGTGTGGGAAACTTCCCAGGTGCACACTCGCCCCGGCTGCGGGCCACACACCTGGGAGAGCGGTGGGCCGTGGGTTTTGACCTCCTGTCTTACAGAGGAGGACACAAGGCCGGCCGGCCAGTCAGCAGCACAGCTGGGGTGAGCTGGTGCCGACGTGGTCCTGGTTGTTTGCACAGCAGTGGGTGCGAGACAGGTGGGGAAGTGCCGTGGAGTCCCAGGAGTGGGTCCTGGGGGGGGGCGGGGGGAGCGGCCAACCCCAGCAAGAGCTGTGGCTTCCCAGGGAGCCCCGCATGGGGACAGGGGCCGCCGTGAAGCCCGCGGCATGGAGTCCCATGGGCGTTTCCACCTCTGCCCTCTGGCTGGCCAGGGAATCACACCTCTGCCCTTTGGTTGGAAATAAACCCTGTGGGCTCCGATTTCTTCATGAGGCTTATGGGGCGAGACTCCAAACTCCAGCCTCTGCTCGGGGTACCTGGAGGTTCTGGGAGGGACGTCCCCCCACACCAGACACTTCTGGGCCTGTCTGACTTTGCACATGAACTCGAGAGCGCGATGGGCAGCCCCTCGTCTGTGTGCAGCATGCTGACTGCCTCTCCCATCTGACTAGGGGCTCTCCTTGTGAGCAAGGCTGGACCTCCACCTTCAGATCAGAGCTGGAGCTGCCCCTCGCGGTCCAGTTAAGCACCTACTATGCGCCAGGCTCTGTGCTTGCTGCAGTGAGAGCAGGAATGAGCTGACACCCGCCCCTTCCTTTGGGTGGGTGCTAATCCGACGGAGGAGGCCAACCCCCCCATAATCGGGGTTGAAACCACACACCCTCCAAGAGAACCCCAATGCTGTGTGTGTCCAGCAAAAATACTCAATTTCCCCTGCGCCCTTGCAGCGAGAGAGGCACGCACCACAGCGCTGACCATGGTGTTGGACGCAGACGCCCACCCGGGGCGACTGTTCCCTCCCCGAGCCCGTGAGGACGAGGCCGGAAGCTGGGAGCGAGAAGGCGTGTGAGTCGCCAGGGCACCGCCAGGGCTGGGATTCTTGGAACAGGAGAACACGCAAACCCCAGCGTGCGCAGAGTTTCTGGGGACGTGCAGCCCAGTGTCTGCCAAACTGTCCCCAGGGCCAGGCTGTGACAGGTGCCGTCACCTCCACTTGGAAGCCCTCACTTCCTGGCTGCTTCCCACCAGCAGGATTCCTTGGGGGTCCTCGCTCTGCCTGACTCCTGTGGGCGCTGAAAACCCAAGAGCTGAATTCCTGGGAATGAGCAACTGGAACGATGCGGGGCCGGCACTGTCTGCCCACGGCCGCGCCATCTGTTCCCGGCACAGCCCATCTGTCGGTGCCACCTGAGGCCCACACAGGAGACTCGGCCAGAGGAGCAGCCTGGGAGTGCCTGGGGACCCCTGGGCTGGAGCGGGGTGGGAAAGTGGGCCCGTGCTTTCCCTGTCAAAGCCCACAGCAGGTGCAGGCCCCCCCCCCATCAGACAGGAACCCCCAGCGGTGGATGCTCACGGTGTTAACTTGGTGCAGACCAAGAGAGTGGCCCCAAACACTGCCGGGAAATACTGTGACGTCTACACACGCAGCTGTGGGGCAGCACCACGGGCCGGCTCCTTCCTTCCCACGCCACAGCTGTGTCTCCCAGGGACCTGCCTCCTGACTCAGCAGCTGGGCCGCTCACTGCCCACTCACTCCCCAGGTCAGACCCCGCAGGAGGCCAGCCAGCTCCTGGGCACGCGGGGACTCCTGGGGTGGGGCGGAATGGATTCATCTCTCCGGCTCAGAGGAGGCCACGTGCCTGCCTGGGACGGGGCTGTGGCCGGGGGCAGCCCCACGCTGTGGGCACTTCTCATGGACGTCACTGTTTTCAAGCTCGGAGGTGGGTCCTTTCCCAGCAGGCCACTTGCTCCTCCCCAAGCCCTGCCCCTGACTTCTTGGTGGGCGGGGCCCCGAGAGGAGAGAGGGCCCTGGAGTCCCTGGCTTTGGCCAATGCTACATGGAGGGGCGGGGTGGGCGCCAGTCGGCGTCCAGGGATCTGACTGCCCCCTACCCCGGTTCTGAGCTCATGGGCACGGAGCCTCAGCTCTCCCAGCTGCGATGCCCAGCGGGGACACTTAGCAAGCGCCAAGCACTCTATGGCCTCTTCATCCTCACCACTGCCCGACAAGGTCACTGTCACCTCTGACAGGGAACTTGGCCCCGCAGTAAGCGGCACAGCCCAGGGCTGCTCTGTTGCCTCCCAGGTCACCAGCCCCAGGCCACTCCTCCCAGCACACTGGTGACCCCACACTGCCCTCGTCTGCTCACTAAGGACCTTGCACCTCTGGGTGGGGCTGTGCCCATTTTATGGAGGGAGAAACTGAGGTTGGCGGGGTTGACTTACTCACCAAGAGCCACGTGGCCACAGCGGCGGATCCAGGACTTACACTGAGGGTGGCGGACCTCCCCCCACCCCGCCCCGCCCCCATAGTCCTTTCACCTTTGCAGTTAGGAAAGCTTGTAAACAGACGGCCGCTGCCTCCATCCGCAAACCGGCGGACAGTGAGCACGCTGATGCCGGAAGCGTCTCTATGGCTTTTCGAGGTTTCCATCAAAAGTGGTCTGGCGCTTTGTATCCAGTTACTGCTCCGAGCTGCTGGCAGGAGGCTGTGTGTGCGCACACGCGTGTGTATGTTCGTGTGCGTGTCTACACGCATGCACACACGCACATGCACGTGAGCAGCTCTTTACAAAGCCTCCACCAGCCACTCCTTTCTGGTTTGCGGCTCCTCAGCCCGGCCCCAGTCAGTCTCATCCCACGCACACCGTCTGCATGCCCAGAAGACGACGGGTCTCCAAGGCCAGGAGCCCCGGTCAGAACTTCCCACCCCGGCGGACGCCGGCCACCGAGGGTCAGAGGGGAGAGAGGTGGCCGCAGAGAGAGGCGGACAGCAGCCCGGCCTGATGAGCCCGGCCACTGCCTGCAGGGCCCCCTTTCTCTGCCACTCTGTGTTCCTGACTCCGGCTGGGCAGCAGGGGCCCCAGGGTCCCAGGGCGACATCTGTGGGCTCTGACAAACACTGGACAAACGTGAGGCCCTCAGGGCTCTTCCAGCTCAACTGCCCGTTACAGCAGGAACCTGCCCGAGTTGAACTGAGCCTCAGTCTCCTCATCAGTACAATGGGAGGGGACGGAAGGTAGCAGCACTCCTGCCTCGTAGGGACAGGCTGTCTGGGGCTGAGTGAGCTGCGGGGTGCAGACCAGCAGCGCTCGGGGAGAGTAAGCCCCAGAAAGACCCAGCTCAGAGGCAGGGAGCCGGGGATCCTGGGCCCACCAAAGCCACTCATTAGCTGGGCGGCCTGAGACACCATGGGCACCTCTGAGAGCGTCCGTTCTCACCTACGTGAGGCCGCCTCGCCCTCGCCAGGTGTGGTGCAACACGACCCAGCACAGAGCCTGGCTGAATACAGCAGGTGCTCAACAAATGCTGCCTTCTCTTCCTGTCCTGCAATGTCCTACACCTTCTAGGTCAGCGTGCTCAGGCCCCACGAGGCCCCGGGCAAGGCGGCTTGGCGTGACCGAGGTGCTGTTTCTGGGCAGAGTGCCTGGGGGCAGAGACCCAGGTGGGGAGACAGAAGGGCACCCCTGGGGGCAGTGTGTTCAGGGCCCGCAGACTTGGGGCCCGGCGGTGGTGGACACCAGTGGCCTTGGGCTTTTCCTGCTTGAGAAATGAGCAGGTGAGTCCAGACGCGGGTGGAGCGCAGCCGCCTTTATCAAGGGTAGGAAGGCTGCTTCCCGGGGGCAGGCGGAGCCGCCGGTGAGAGAGCCGTCCCCTGAGCCAGGCCTGCTCGGGGCAGCTCTGCTCATGGACATCAATCCCTTTCTTCTCACCGTCCACATAGCCAGTGGGGGGCAGGCCTGGCGCCTGGCCCCAGAGCCCAGCATTGGATGCTCAGGCCCACGATCTTCCCAGAGGTCCCTCAGAGCCTCTCCACGTGCACCCTGGACAGCAGGTCGGCTGACCTTTCCAACTCCCTGCCCAGGGAGGGAAACACCGGGACTAGGTCCTAATCTTCCAGTTCTGAGGCCATGGCAGACATTACTAATCCAACAGGGAACCTGGGTGGATTAGTGATGTCTGCCATGGCATGGGAGGGAAGCTCTGCCCTGGACAGTGGAGTGACTGATGACAGCCAGCATGTTGAAGATGACAAGGTGAGATGACACACTCCAGGGACCCAAGGCCAAGACAGGGGAAAGCACTTCTCTCAGCTGGTGGGACACCAGCTCATTCACCCCATGGACAACGGTGGCAAAGCAACTCTGGCCTGCAAGTTTACAGGCAAGAAAGCAGGTTTGATGTCCCTCAGCTGGGTCAAAGGTCAGGGACTGAGTCCTAGGTTTGCTGACATGTTTCCATGTCCACCCCAACCAGTCCCTGGGGGAGCCGGGGAGCTGGCCTGCCTTGCTCTCTGCTGGGTCCCCTTGCGTCTGGAGCAGCGTCCAGCACATAGCAAGTGCTCAGGCCATCACGCAGGACTGGCTGACGCACACGTGAGCTAAGACCAAGGTGGGCCGCCTCGGGGAGGGGGCGCCTGTGCTGGAGCA